AGCAAACTAAAAATAACCATAAATCCGTGTTTGCGAGCCCTTTATCGAATGTGATAATCGGAAATATCCGTTTAATATTAGTGATCTGAGAAAAGAATCATGGATAAAGACTTAACTCAGAATTAAACGTTCTAGTGCTTCTTATAGTTAATCAAATCATCGCATTGACACTAGTCTTATGCTACTTTATATTTGTATGAGGCATCGTAACTCCTTAATATATTACACATCTTATTCCCGATGTATATTGACCATCATCTCTTCCTTTGCTCTTGCTTTTTCTTTTTTATTCGTTCAGTATGTGCAGGTTCTATGGATGATTAATAAATTCAGAAACTATAAATGAATGGCATTTGTTAACCCCCCTATAAATGTACCCTCGATGACTGAGACGTCGAGACTTTCACACCCTCAAATTACCCTCGATGAGTGAGACGTCGAGGGTTTTTTGCCCTGAATAATATCTGCAATGTGTAAGTCGATGTGTGAGACGTCGAGACTTTTTTCACCCTGAGTAATACCCTCGACATGTGAGACATCGAGGGTTTTTCCGCCCTATAAATTACCTACGATGAGTGAGACGTCGAATGTTTTTTATCCCCTATAACTTACCCTCGATGTATGAGACGTCGAGAGTTTTATTTGACTATACTTTACCCTCGACGTCTCATACATCGAGGGTTTTAATTGCCTATAACTTGCCCTCGACGTCTCAGTCATCGAGGGTTATTACACCCCGAATAATACTCTTAATGTGTGAGACGTCGAGACTTTTTCTGCCCTTCAAATTACCCTCGATGACTGAGACGTCGAATGTTTTTCTACCCTTCAAATTACCCTCGATGTATGAGACGTCGAGGGTTTTAAGTGCCTATGATTTACCCTCGATGTGTGAGACGTCGAGGGTTTTTTACACTCATAATAATATCTGCAATGTGTGAGACGTCGAATGTTTTTCTGCCCTGCAAATTACCCTCGATGTATGAAACGTCGAGACTTTTTACACCCTGCTAAAACCCTCGATGACTGAGACGTCGAGACTTTTTCTGCCCTATAAAAACCCTCGATGTATGAGACGTCGAGGGTTTTTTACACCTACAATTTACCCTCGATGTATGAGACGTCGAGGGTTTTTTCACCCTGTAATTGAGACGTCGAGGGTTAAATTTTCTGACAAAACTAACCTTAACGAAATAGGCCTTTTTTGCCCTTATAACTAACTAATACTTCGGTTTACCTTTGCGTACATCAGACCACCTTTTCGACTTATTACTTATTACCCCTTTTTGTAAAGAGGGTTAAAATTGGGGGTTTTCTCAAAGGGATAATTTTTTGGGCCTTTTTTTAACCTATCCTCTCATTCCTTCAACTTCTAGGCCACATCCAATCCATTCTTGGGGATAGGTGTCATCTTCCTCAGTCTTATATGGCTCTCCTGCGCTTACTGCTTGCTCGGTCTCCTGCTTTTGATAGAGTGGCTCTGGGGTAGCTCTAAAGGGTGGGAGTCCCTAAGCTACTTCTGCGTATAACGCTTCCTTCGGAGTTTCTATCCTTTGATTCTTCCTCTTCTCGGGTTAGCTTCTTCTGGTAGGACCATGATAAAATTCGAACAGAAATCTTTGGAAAGACCTTGGGTCTCGTCAGANAACCTATCCTCTCATTCCTTCAACTTCTAGGCCACATCCAATCCATTCTTGGGGATAGGTGTCATCTTCCTCAGTCTTATATGGCTCTCCTGCGCTTACTGCTTGCTCGGTCTCCTGCTTTTGATAGAGTGGCTCTGGGGTAGCTCTAAAGGGTGGGAGTCCCTAAGCTACTTCTGCGTATAACGCTTCCTTCGGAGTTTCTATCCTTTGATTCTTCCTCTTCTCGGGTTAGCTTCTTCTGGTAGGACCATGATAAAATTCGAACAGAAATCTTTGGAAAGACCTTGGGTCTCGTCAGATAATCTTGTGTTGTAAACTACAACCTTATACAGCCTTCTTAATCGATGTTTATCTTCTCTATCTTGAGCCTGTTTCTGTTTGATTTTGAAGGGTTCATGGTAAAACTTTACCTTATGGAAGGTTTTCTATTATCACTGTATTTTAGAAAAACATAAGCAGAAATATAGGAAGAAAAATCATGTGCAAAACAAGGACATAAAAATTCAAGACATTACTATGAAGAATATTTTGTAGGGTAATCGTACGAGCTCGTACGAGGGTACTAGTAACAGTACGAAGAATATTTTGTAGGGCACTCGTACGAGCTCGTACGAGGGTACTGTGACACTATGAAGGATATTTTGTAGGGCACTCGTGCGAGCTCGTACGAGGGTACTCGAACAGTATGAAGAATACATAGGGTTAGTTTGCTGTAAGATGCACTAGAACGATTCCTTCATAGTTAAGTATTTATTTATATACTTTCTTTCTAGGTTAATTGTTCTAAACGCTATAAACACATTATTTCCCATGAGCTAATANAATATTTTGTAGGGTAATCGTACGAGCTCGTACGAGGGTACTAGTAACAGTACGAAGAATATTTTGTAGGGCACTCGTACGAGCTCGTACGAGGGTACTGTGACACTATGAAGGATATTTTGTAGGGCACTCGTGCGAGCTCGTACGAGGGTACTCGAACAGTATGAAGAATACATAGGGTTAGTTTGCTGTAAGATGCACTAGAACGATTCCTTCATAGTTAAGTATTTATTTATATACTTTCTTTCTAGGTTAATTGTTCTAAACGCTATAAACACATTATTTCCCATGAGCTAATAATATCCTGCTCAGGTTCGCACGAGTTTGAATAAATATTTTATCAGACAAATGTCAAAGACTGTACAAACACACCTATTCAAATACCTTTATTATAGCGAATACCTGTAAATTATCTTTGTTTCTGACATATATCCATTCCTCACAAGTATCTTAAGTAGATCAATTACTTCAGTCTGAATTACATCCCCTCTGACATCAAATACGTCACACCCTATACCAGAGAACAACTTACCAAGTTCTTTTTCAAATTCGTATACAGTGAATATACCTTCCTTATTCGCATATTTCTGACATAGACCTATAATTGATCTAGCTCCACCCACAATTTTCTCAATATTGGTATTTCCTCCAGACCGCTTTTTCAACTTTGTTTCCATACTAGTGTTCTTTTTCAATGATCCATTGTACAAATATGTATTCTCTAATTCATTCGTCTCCCTGAAGCTACTACTATCATCTAATGTTTCTCTCTGTTTACTTGAACTTATCATATTCGTTTCTGGTAAAACAGCTTGGAGATCTGTTGTATCATTCTGCTTTTCCATCATACTATCACTTGATGTAGTTGAAAGAGAAAATGTCAATATGCTTTTCATAGTTTTTTTAATCTGATGAATCATCGAATTCATTTTCTCAAGCTTTCCTTGTAGCATAATCACTTGATTCTGTAACTCAATGCATCTTTTCTCCCAATCTACTGCGTTTTCTTCTTTTTTCTTCACTTTGCTTACTTCTGATAGCTTCTGTCTACTAACAACTTTTGACATGGGGTTGTATTCAGTAAAATTTGTTAAAAATTACCCATATGAACTTAACAGTTTTTGCAAAGCATCTCAAACTAAAAATCAGTTTAGCGACAGGACAATCAGTTGAATCTTTGACGAATAGTATGCAGGAATATCATGATGTAGTTTCCGATTCTAAGAATCCTCTTGCTAAACTATACTTATCAATGTTCAGCTGTTTCAAGAACTCACCTTTGCACCAAGTAATTATGATACAAGTAGCATGCTCCTGTAACTTGAAGTTCCTTGAGAAAACTTACTTCTGTCAAAGGTATCTTTTAGAAACTGAAGTATTTCACAACGATTTGATATGCCTGCCACTTTGTAGTTTCCAACTGAACTTTGATGTCAAGCTCACAACAATAGAACAGTTTGAAGACAATCTGAGACTTTGGGTATTTCACTGTATTCAATATGATATATGGTATCCTGCATATTTTACAAAGACATTGACTACACAGGCTGATTTGGAAGAAAGAATTGAAAGTTCTTTGGTTTTTAGTCCAGAACTATTCAAATTAAACAAGGATTACGTACCTGAATTTGAACCTACAAAGCAAATGTTGAGTCTAGCTCAATTAGAGAGTGGTAATAAGGAAGTACAAATAACCAATCAACCTATATATAACTTGAATGTCAACGATTATAGTACAGTTATATCTAATTACGAATATGGAACACAGAATACTTCCCAAGATGACGAAAAACATGTTGCTGTGGGATATGATATCGATGGTTTCAAAGGTTTTCTCAATGAAACTAATTTACAGGGATTCAAAGGCAAAATTCAACTTAATTTAGATACTAAGATTGATTGGAAGATCAGAACAAAACACTTTATTGCAATTGACGACGGTGCCTTTGACTTTGCCAAGACAAACTATGTATTTTTGGGTATGTCAACTATATCAGAACTTGTTCGTGCTTACATGTTCGTTGTATATGATACTAATAAGCTTGAATCAGCGGTTGCAGATATGATATTTGATATAACGACAGCAATATTTACTGAATCACAGACCACTAATCCAACAATATGTTCCAATTGGTATAGCAAGTACGGTAGAACAGTACTTAATTTAGATACTATTTTACTGGCAACATTAATTCAGAAACTACGATCAAAACTAGAGGGAAATGTTAAGATCTTCATAGAATGTTACGGATCTAAGATAGAATTTCAAAGCACGAACCTTGTACACCTTCTTGAAGATTTTTCTAACAGGTGCTTTGATCTTAGATATGGTAATCTAATACTGGATATTTCAATTAACGCAGTTGTGAAATCAAACACACGGGAAACATTATTTCTTACAAAAGACTCCACAAACGCAAAAAGTATGGGACTTGAATCACACTGTCCATTCTTCAATAATTCAATTAATAATGTACATGGCTGGACAAGTACTTTTACAAAGAAGAATTCTAAAATGCAAGCAAAATTGAAAATGGGTAATATACTCAAATTTAACATCTACAACAATCATCCATTTAAGTTCTTAAACCAGAGAGCATTCAAGAATTACACTTTTCCAAAGGCATTACTGCACCATGCAGTGAACAATATGTATGGCATAAAATTCCTAAAGACCGTTAGACCACAAAACCATCATAGGAATAGTTTCAAACAATTTATTGCCAACGTTATGAATACCCAAGGTGCGAAGGCTAATTTAAGAATTGAAATGAGTGTATTTGCTTCAAATTCATATGATGCTGTAACTTATATGGTTGCACAAATCAAAGATGCCAACTACAAAGTATTTGATCAAGCTGAATTATCAAGAATGTGTCTGGATTTTAGCAATGAAATATTGGCTCTGGTGGATGTACCTGAACCCTGCTCCATAATTTCTACAATGCGTGGAATCATTGCTGAGACCATACTATTCAAAATGTTTTACAGAGACAGTCATAATTGTGATTTTATAACGAAGCAATTCTATAAAAAGATCATGGGATTTAATTCAAAGGAAGAAATGATACACTGGTTGAAAAATGAACTACACAATGAACAGTATGAATACCTACAAGAACAGTTACAAATAGTTTACAGAGGGTGGAATAAGTTCAACATATCTTCACAACTTCAGCAAGGCTTCTGTTCAACACTTTTGAAGGAGGAAATCAATATATTGAAGTGTAAAGAGAAATATTGGGAAGGTGAAGAGTGTAAATTTGAGATTCTGGTCTTCAATAAGTTAATGGGGCTGATGGTGGATCAATGTGGTTCCAGAAAACAACTTGAACAATATAATTTGGCTGAACCTGACATCTACCACGTAGGAATATTTACATTTGATGATTTGTTTAATGAATGGTTCATCAAACATAGTCGTGTTGATNTATCTTCACAACTTCAGCAAGGCTTCTGTTCAACACTTTTGAAGGAGGAAATCAATATATTGAAGTGTAAAGAGAAATATTGGGAAGGTGAAGAGTGTAAATTTGAGATTCTGGTCTTCAATAAGTTAATGGGGCTGATGGTGGATCAATGTGGTTCCAGAAAACAACTTGAACAATATAATTTGGCTGAACCTGACATCTACCACGTAGGAATATTTACATTTGATGATTTGTTTAATGAATGGTTCATCAAACATAGTCGTGTTGATACGAAGTATGAATATTATATATTCTATACACTCGCAAAACGACTTAAAGAATTATTCATGAATCATCAAATACATACTTTCTATAAGAAGAAGAAAGGACCAGGATTATATAAGATCATTTATGACTTCTCGCCAGTATGCACCAGGCTATCACTTACAATTGCTGAAATTAAGGAGCAATTCAGAAATTGCCATAATTACTCATTCAATGAACATGATTCGCATTATTCATGGTTGGTAGATGTCATATTTCATACCTTGGTGAACAATGAGCAAGGTATTTCACTCAAACAGATGTCTAAGGAGTGCATTTATCCGTATGCTTACCTTCCAGAACAATCATATTATAGATACGGAAAAAATGCGCATTTCTTGCGTTCAATTAAGTATAAGAGGAATGAACTGTCAGTGATATCTTTCATCAAACACTTGAATTTTGAAAGATATACTTTCAAAACGTTCTACAAGATATTGTTACACCTTGGATTCCGCGTCCAAAATCGCTCAACTGACGTTATTAGGTTGCTTTATCTCCAATTTATCTACTACAACAGAACATATACCACCATGCCAGATGATGATTATTTTGAGGGATATCTCAATCTCCAGGATGATTCAATCAATTTCTATAGTTACTTATTTGTATTTAACGAATTGATTGAAACTGCACATATGTATGATTGTTATAAACAAGCTAAGCATTCCATCAAGAATGGTTGTTTTGAAGACTATAAGATAATACATGATAACATCTTTAGCAAGATACAAGCGAAATATGTCTCATATCAACATACTGAACAAATACTAGGAAANCATCAAGAATGGTTGTTTTGAAGACTATAAGATAATACATGATAACATCTTTAGCAAGATACAAGCGAAATATGTCTCATATCAACATACTGAACAAATACTAGGAAATTCGTGCAACTATGATTCACACATCTTAGGTGACAAAAATGAAGAGTTCCTTGCCCTCATCAAACAAGAAGCAGAAGGAAATTTGTTCCATTTGAAAGACGTGCTAGTAGAGATCAAACGTTTTGCAAAGCAATATAAACTACATCATCTACTGCAAAAGAATTCACGGCGCATTGCAATAAAAAGAGTCAAGCAAGTACTTCAGCGATATACGGATGAAAAGTTTCTGTCAAAACATGAAACAGAAAGTGATGTGTGGGAATTATGGTATTAAATCGTTTTAAGAGTATGAGTAGCTCAGTATAAATGGATATTGTTGCTTTTTACCAAGAATTATTCCATTGGGCAATACTATAGCTCATCGTTTTAGGTTGTAAATAATCGATGATTGAGTACATTTGGCATTGTACAATTTAACTTGATGTATCCGCCTATTCAAAATGCGAATCTTCTTCTTAATTTTTGGCATAGTTGTTCTATTGAATTTCAAGAAATGTATCTCTCCTTTATTCACTTCCTAAGCGGTATAGCATTTTTCGTTTTCTAAAAAAAGGCTGACCCCTTTATTACACTTGAGCTGTTACCCCTTTATTTGATTTCGAATATCACCCCTTTATTTCACTTGAAATGTTACCCCTTTATGGATTTCAAAAAAAGGGTGTATCATGTAATGAAATAACCAAGGGTGAAATAAAGGGGTAAATGTGCGTGACCTTTTTATTAAACACACTAAAATACCCCGAATTAACAATTTTGGCTGAAAATTTTAGGCCACAGGGCACCCTGAATACCAAACAATATCACCCATCTATTAGTAGAAGTAAGTTACTATTTTCAAAATCACTAAAAGTGTCACCCCTCCTATAAAAAGTGACATGTCCTAGTCATCTACCTAACTACCTACCTAACTACCCCTAAGACACTATTTATTCCCTCCTTGGTTCCAATACCCTTATTTTATCAGCCAATACCGTTGCTGGCCCCCTGATTCCCTCTGGATCGTGTGGTAGCATAATACTCACTTTAATTCCAATCACCCCCTGCTTGCACTTTGCTACTGCACTTGCGTGCTTGATGTACTGCTTAGCTGGCTCACCAGCCTGAATCAGAAGCCCATCGATGAATTTGGTGGTCTTGGCCCTCTGCCCCTTCACCTTTCCGGCCACTCTGACACAGACACCCTGTCCCCCTGCTCCACGAACTCCCCTGATCACCGAATTCACCACTCTTTTGTACGGCTTAGTCTGCACGAACGCCTGTCTGAGCTGCTCTGCGTAGTACGCTGGTTCCATCCTCATGTTTTCGATCTTCTCGAGCACCACTCTGACTTGGCTCGCTTCCACTTCCAGTCTCTGGGCCACTGTCGCCTGTAACTGGCTGATCAGAAGTGGCATCTTTTGAATGGTGGCTGATGGATCCAGTAGGCGTATTCCGACATGCGCTGGTGTCTGCCACAGCCTGACGTCCACGCCTGCGTACGTCTCCTCCTGGAGCATCTTTGAGAAGAGTTCGTCGAGTTCAGCGCGTATCTTTCCCTCTCTGATGTAGTTTGATAGAACTGTGCTACTTTTATCAGTCTGAGATTTGAGCATTTTATTGAGCATTTTAGATGGGTAAAATTTGGGAAAAATTTAGGAAACGTTACCATCGTTATTAGCTAACATTTATTACTAGCTAATATTGACACTGGCTAATATTGACACTGGCTAACATTTATCACTAGCTAATATTCATTACTATAATTACTACCCTATTATTATTAGCCACCCTATTATTACTAGCAATATTCATTACTAGCAATATTTATTATTATTACTACTACCCTATTACTATTAGCCACCCTATTATTACTCTTATCACTCCCCCAATGCCAACTTCTTCTTCATTGGAAACTTGAAATAGACTGAAAACAGCAGTGCCAATATGAATACCCCAACCAGTACAACTGGCCCAGTCGTATCATCGTATGGCCCTGCGTCTCTCACCCTTATTCTCGCTGCTCTCCAGTAGAAGAGGTGCAATGCGTAGATGGCGAATACGATTGCCACCACAATGAGCATGGCACCACAGACATTCGCCTTGTAGTTGGCGAGCCCAAGCATGGCCGTGCCTATTCCGCCCAGGAATATCGCAAATTGCACCCAACTGAGAAATGTGCGCTCATTTGCGAAGAAGACCTTGGGTTCAACTCTCACTGGAATTGATATTCTGGCAGGTGGAATCTGCCTGGCTGGTGGCGCATCCTCGATGGAGAGGGTGACTCGCTCCTCTGAGCTCCTCTCCTGCAAAACGCCCTTTGAGTCGAACTCCTTGCGCCTGCCCACGTTGTAGAAGGCGTCTTTTCTGATTTCTGTTTCCATCTGTGGCAGCCAGTAGGGGATTTCATCAACGGGGTAGAGGAGGGCGGTGCCATGGAGAAACTTGCTGAATTTGTGGACGTGTTCGACGAAGGGGGATGAGACGATCTCGTCGATCCAGGGCGGATTGGCTCCATCTGGGCCAGTCGTCTTCACCTCAAGGACGGCGTGAGGGAATCTGACAATCTCATTCTCATCAACTCCCCTGAATGGCCACTCTCCTACATCACCCCTGAACCAGTCTTCGTTATTGTCATTGTTATTACTAGTATTGTTATTGTCATTATTATTACCCCTATTATTATTATTACCATTATTACTATTATTACCCCTATTATTATTTCTATTATTGTTACTACTATTTCTACCCTCCTTTATCATGCACAAATTGGTGTCGAGTGAGATTCGAACTGCTGCGTCATCGGGCAGCTGAAAGGCAACTCGCCTGTAGAACGTCCTGAGCCGCGGCCGAAGCCCCAGCCTCGTCACGGCCGCCTGCACCTCGTCGTAGAGCAGTCGCACGTCATCGCCATCGTTCACGGCAGCAACAGCCTCCCAGACGTCGTCGCCCCTCAAAAAGGCAGAGACGCTCTCCCTCGGAATCGAAAAGCGAAGCTTCTTCGACTCCTCGCCTGTCCACCCCTCAGCGTGTCTCTTCCTTTCGATAAAAACAGTCGGAGTCACCTCCTTCCCGTACCATCGAATTCGAATGGCCTCAGCTCCTTCCTCCTTCCTCATTCTTCCCAGGTAGAGAGCCCTTTCATCGTTATCGAGGTAGACGGACGTGACAGAGGTGTCGTGGGTCCGGTGGTTCCAGGCAGAGTAGGGCGAGCCACCGCCACGGCTGAAGACGTAGAGCGGCAGGTGTCTCACAATCGCAAGCTTCAGGGCCATCAGGTTGTCAGGGTGGACCCAGAATTTGTTTGTCTTACGAACAAAACTCGTCGTGGTTTCGTTCGTCGCAGTCGCGTTGCTTCGCAGCAGCCTCTGCTTCGACTGCCCGTAGACGAGCTCGTCGAGGTGCTCGATCTGCGACAGCTTCCGCTCCAGCTCAGGGCGGAATCGGCTTCCGAGGCGTCCGCCCGTCTTCTTGTCGAAGTGCCGCAGCGCCTTCTTGAACCCAACCACGTTCAGGCGGATGAACTCGGCAAACGCCTTCGTCTCCTCCTGCACGGCCGTCAGGCTGTCGCCTGGCGCATGCAGCCGCTCCTTCAGAGCTGCCGTCTCCGCCTGGATGAACGCAAAGACGCGCTCGAATTCGTCACGGATCGCCGTCTCTGTTTCGCTGCTGATGTTCGTAGTCAGCTCGTCGTATTTCAGGTATCTTCCACCGTACTTCTTGTTGCTGTTCTCAGCCAGATACTTCGCAAATGCCATGGATGGTGGTGATCAGGTGTTTTAAGAATGGGATGAAACAAGTGTGGGAAAGTGAGATATGATAAAGAGAGTGAAGGGTGATAGGGTGGTAGATAGGGTAGTAAGTAGGGTGGAATGGATTGGATTGTATTGGATTGTATTGGAGGAAGACGTGTTTTAGGTAGGTGTTTTAGAATGGATAGGGTGGAATAGTAGGGTGGATTGATAGGGTGGATTACTAGGGTAGTTTAGTAGGTAATTCTTACTAGGGTAGTTTGATACGATCATCTACTAGGGTAGTTTATTAAGGTAGTAGTTTAGTAGGGTTATTCTTACTAGGGTATTTCACTATGATCATTCTTACTAGAGTAGTTTAGTAGGGTAGTTGTTTAGTAGGATGGAATAATTGGGTGGAATAATTAGAGTAGTTTGATACGATCATCTACTAGGGTAGTTTATTGAAGTCGTTCTTACTAAGGTAGGTTAGTAGGGTTATTCTTACTAGGGTAGGTTACTATGATCATTCTTACTAGAGTATTTTACTAGGGTGGAATAGTAGGGTAGATTACTAGGGTAGATTATTGAAGTCATTCTTACTAGGGTAGTTGTTTAGTAGTGTAGATTAGTTAAAGTAGTTTAGTAGGGTGGAATATTCTTACTAGGGTAGATTACTAGGGTAGTTTATTAAGATCATTTTTAGTAGAGTATTTACTAGGGTGGATTAATAGGGTAGTTGTTTAGTAGGATGGAATATTTGGGTGATTCTTACTAGGGTACTTTACTAGGATAGTTTATTAAGGTAGTTGTTTACTAGGATATTTTAGTAGGGTAGATTATTGAAGTCATTATTACTAAGGTAGGTTAGTATGGTTATTCTTACTAGGGTGGGTTACCAGGGTGATTTAGTAGGGTAGTTTACTATGATCATTCTTACTAGGATATTTTACTAGGGTGGAGTACTATGATCATTGTTGGGTAGGAGTAAGTGACTATTCGTAAGATCACTAAGTGTGTCACTCCTATCTGTTGTGTGAGCCTGATACCAGGACTCTATCACATCAACCTGTCAAGGATCAAAACAATATGTGATTGATATGTTAATTGTTTATAGACAAACAACAGGTATAAATAGAAGGGTTCATCAGAACCCCTTATCAAGTAAATGGTTGCAACTAAAAAGAGTATTCAGGCACAAGAGCAAGATGGCTCAGCAGCTGAACACAACACTATCAATCACTGACTATAAAAGAAGCGACATTTTGAGAACCCCAAGAATGGAACCGGAATCTTCA